GAATCCACTCGGTAAAACATCTAAACCGTTGGGACCGAGTAAAGAGTCTAAACCTGTATTCTCTTGAGCGCAGGCGAGAGAAATGCATAATAATTTACACATGAAAAATAGTAGAGGGGCTGGTCCCAAACCTGCACACAGATATAACATCACATGAGAGCAGAAGGCATGGCAGGATGTGCAGAATACCCCCGTTGAAAAGTAGAGGTGCAATAGGTACTCTGAGAGAGAACTCTAACAACGGCCCGAGACTGTTCAACACGCTTCCTCTACACATAAGGGGCATAACCGGCTGACACCTCACAGTTTTCAAAAGATAACTCGATTAGCACCTTAAGGGGATACCTGATCAACCAGGCTGTGACTCGTTCGTCAGGCTGCGAGCAGCCGCGTCCAACAGCCTGTTTGACCAGTCCAGCAACGAAGAGGCCTAGTCGACGACCGGGTTGTGGTGAAACAAAGCCCCGAAAACACCTCAAGGTAGGAGAACAGATGAATTAGGTGAAATGAAACGTTGCCAACTATTTTTGTCCCTCCTTAGATTCGAATCTGGGACTCCAGACTGTGAGTCAAGAACAAACCTAAATGTACTATCGAGAGTCTTAATGTACTTAAACATAAAAGTTTTGAAAGCCATCAACAGAATTGTTGAAAAAAAATAGACGAAGTCTCTCATCCAAATTCGCCACACAAAACCAAAGAGTTAATTACAAAATGGGCTCAAGTCTCTAGTTATAGATTACTACTAGCTAGTATTAGGAAGTCATTGCCTGAGCAGTCCAAATACAGAATTGCAGGCCTCTCCAGGGGCGGTAGCACTACGCTGGTGAGGATGGTATCACCAGGGGCAGTAACACTGCACCTGGTGAGGATGGTATCACCAGGGGCAGTAACACTACACCTGGTGAGGATGGTATCACCAGGGGCAGTAACACTGCACCTGGTGAGTATGGTATCACCAGGGGCAGTAACACTACACCTGGTGAGGATGGTATCACCAGGGGCAGTAACACTGCACCTGGTGAGTATGGTATCACCAGGGGCAGTAACACTACACCTGGTGAGGATGGTATCACCAGGGGCAGTAACACTGCACCTGGTGAGTATGGTATCACCAGGGGCAGTAACACTACACCTGGTGAGGATGGTATCACCAGGGGCAGTAACACTACACCTGGTGAGGATGGTATCACCAGGGGCAGTAACACCACACCTGGTGAGGATGGTATCACCAGGGGCAGTAACACTACACCTGGTGAGGATGGTATCACCAGGGGCAGTAACACTACACCTGGTGAGGATGGTATCACCAGGAGCAGTAACACTACACCTGGTGAGGATGGTATCACCAGGGGCAGTAACACTGCACCTGGTGAGGATGGTATCACCAGGGGCAGTAACACTACACCTGGTGAGGATGGTATCACCAGGGGCAGTAACACTACACCTGGTGAGGATGGTATCACCAGGGGCAGTAACACTACACCTGGTGAGGATGGTATCACCAGGGGTAGTAACACTACTGGTGAGGATGGTATCACCAGGGGCAGTAACACTACACCTGGAGAGGATGGTATCACCAGGGGCAGTAACACTACACCTGGTGAGGATGGTATCACCAGGGGCAGTAACACTACTCCTGATGAGGATGGTATCACCAGAGGCAGTAACACTACACCTAGTGAGGATGGTATCACCAGGGGCAGTAACACTACACCTGGTGAGGATGGCATCACCAGGGGTAGTAACACTACTCCTGATGAGGATGGTATCACCAGGGGCAGTAACACTACTCCTGGTGAGGATGGTATCACCAGGGGCAGTAACACTACACCTGGTGAGGATGGTATCACCAGGGGCAGTAACACTACACCTGGTGAGGATGGTATCACCAGGGGTAGTAACACTACTCCTGGTGAGGATGGTATCACCAGGGGTAGTAACACTACTCCTGGTGAGGATGGTATCACCAGGGGTAGTAACACTACTCCTGGTGAGGATGGTATCACCAGGGGCAGTAACACTACACCTGGTGAGTATGGTATCACCAGAGGCAGTAACACTACACCTAGTGAGGATGGTATCACCAGGGGCAGTAACACTGCACCTGGTGAGGATGGTATCACCAGGGGCAGTAACACTACTCCTGATGAAAATGGTATCACCAGGGGCAGTAACACTACTCCTGATGAGGATGGTATCACCAGGGGCAGTTGTTGTTGTTGTTGTTATAGATTCAGCTACTCGGAACAAGTTCCATGTAGCACGGGCTATGGTGAGCCCGTAAAGCCAGGGGCAGTAGCACTGGTCCTTTTAATATCTCTGACTTCTCCTCATTACAAGCATTAAATACCTTACAATCAAATTGTATATTGTAACTTGCTTTATCGGTGAAAGAGGGTATAGATATATATGCATACTGACGGAGGTTCAAAATAAAATATGCTGTGGATCCCTCTGAGATTGTGCAGCAGGACATAATAAAGTTGACATCCTTGCTATGCTCGCAGTACATAAAGACAATGTTGAACATAATATTGGGCTATCCAAAAAGAACTCTAAAAATTGTCATTAGACGAGGACGTTTAGACGAATTAGTGGAAAGTAGAATAGAGCAAACAGAGACTACCAGATCCATAGTTTATCACAATGAGATGTGTCAAACAAAACTTGTGTATTGGGTCAAATAATAAAATCAACATCAGCAGACTAACAGACGTTTTCAAAGCTCGAATGCGACTTGACTACAGGTATTTCTGGCAGTTCTGCTTGAATTGGGTTCTATATGAAGTAAAGTGAAAAGTGTGCGAACAAAGACAGACAGACATACACTACAGCATTGCAATTTTCTGTATACAAGTTGAGCAATTTAAAAACAAATCTGAACTTACGTTGCAAGAAATGGAAAATCATTTCATTATAAATTAAATGAGCTATAGTTTTGTGCACCTCATGCTCACCTTGTGAGCAATAGTACTGTGTACCCCATATTCATCTTGTGAGCAGTAGTATTATACAACCCATACTCATCTGAGCGTCATTTTCGTGCACACCGTACACATATTTTGATAGATATTATTGTTCATCCCTACTCATCTTGTTAGCAGTAGTATTGTTCACCCCACCATATTCATCATGTAAGCGGTATGATTGTGCACCCCTCACTCATCTTGAGATCAGTTGAAAGTGCACCCCCCATACTGTTTGACCCTCGTGCTGTAGCCGTCATCGTGCCCTCGTGCTGTAGCCGTTATCGTAAGCTAACCGGCTCACACTATAAATACCTATAACATTTCTGATCAGGAATGAAACAGCTAATTAACGAGTTTCGTAAAGAACACCTCCCTTATTGTAGACGATGCGTGTTGTTAACGAGAACACTTAATCCCATAACACTGGTGTCCAAGGAAATTTTCTGTAAAACTTAAAGTGAGCTCCACTCGAGACTTTGTTGATAATATTAACGGCTTCCTGAGGCCACCCTCCCATTTGCATCCCTTGTTCTACAGAAGTCAAAAGTGGTTAGAGAGCCTACATGTATTCGATTTTGGTACTGATAATTAAGTTGATTCAAGGGAAATGTTTTTATGTTTACACTCCAAAGACTACTGTATTAAGAATGTTTCCCAATAATATAGCTGGTATATCTAATGACGAAATGTGGCAATGATGTCTCGTTTTCCAACCACCCTCACTCCATTTCCTCCCTGCTCCACCTTCCTACTCACCCCAGAATCCTCCGAGACCCTGTTAACCAACGCACAAATCTCCACACCTATGGTACAAATTCCCCCATTAGCAGAAAGACCACCAAGAAAAGGAAACAAGAATGAACAGGAGAAAGTGAGTTTCAAGGCAGTGTATACAAACATAGATGGGATTACAAATAAATAAAGTGAACATGAAGAATGGGCACAAGATGAAAACCGCATCCTCTTAGCACTCACAGAAACAAAGGTAACACAACCATTACAAAAGCAGTGTTTCCACAGGAATACTATGAAGTTAGGAAAAAGAGGGAAGGAAGAGTTGAAGGTGGAGTAGATCTGCTGATAAGAAGAGACTGGAGTTTTGAAGTAATGGTTATCCAGATATGTGAAGATTTCAGTGAATACATTACAGGTATCATAGCAATAGAGGGACAATAACCTATAGTAGTAGTCATATATAACCCTCCATCAAATGACAGAAGACCCAGAAAGGCACATGACAGACACAACATGGCTACCTTTAATATAATAGAGAGAGCAGCTTTTGTCGCTAGCGGAATGGATCCAGACTGCCAATTATGGAAGATTTCAACCACGGGAAGATAGATTGAGAGAACAGAGAACCACATGGTGGACCAGACACGGAGAGCTAAGCTGGTGGACGTGGCAACACGAAACTTTCTAAGCCAACAAATCAAGGGACCAACAAGAATGGGAGTATAAGACGAACTACCAATGATTGATCAAATATTGACCCTGAATTAGTCGGATATAAGGGAAGTTAAGTTGGAAGTCCCCATGGGAATCAGTGATCACATGGTACTGATATTTGAGTACCTGGTAGAGCTAGGAGTAGTCTCCCCCCCCCCATTCCTCCCCCCCCCCACAAAAATAAATAGGAAACAAAGGGCATGATCACCTCATATTCATACGGTAGACAAAGACAATTTAACACCAGGGGCACACGAAACTAGGGAATACAGGTGGAAATTGAGTGCCCAAATGAGCCATAGAGATATTAGAAAGAATTGTGTTAGTGTCAGAGAAGTTAATAAATAGAATGCATTAGGATTTGATGTGGTGGAGGCAGACTCCATACTCAGTATCAAGTGTAGATAAGATAGAGCCCAATAGGCTCAGGAACCTGAACACCATTTGATTGAAGGTTGAGAGGCGGGACAAAAAACCGAAACGCAACCCCGCAAGCACAACTAGGTGACTACAACTAGGTGAATACATTTGAGTTCACGAGGCAGCAAGATGTGTTGCCAACCAGTGTTCACTCTCACTATTATAAGATGCAGGAGGAGGCGGTGCTGCCTCATTCATCCAGTGACCACCATAGGCGGCACACACTCGCAGCTCTGCTCAACGTGACGTCTACCACACACTACACCCGCCCGCACCACATTCAAGGTAACGTCTCATTCTTTACCAACAATTATGTAAACATTTATCAATCACTTCTGTGTGTACAGCAGCTTGACTGCTCAATGCATTTTAGGATGGCAAAATTGTTGTTTATGTGTTAATACAGCAGTATGACTTCTTATCTTAAGTAAGATTCTTGGGGGTATCTTGACAGAATTTCGGGGCTTAGTGTTTCCACGGCCCGGTCCTCGAACAGACCTCCATTTTGTTACACATCCCCAGGAAGCAGACCATAGCAGCTGTCTAACTCCCAGGTTCCTATTTACTGATAGGTGAACAAATACATCAGGGTAAAAGAAAGTACCCATATGTTTCCGCCTCCGCCGGGGATTGAACCAGGAACCTAAGGACTACGAATACGAGCGCTGCCCACTCAGCTGTCAGACCCTTCTTCCATTTATTGTTTACTTAATGCAGACAATACTACATTAATAATGCATTGATGCTTAGATGACATATCAAGCTGGAACCAATCGTATTGGCGTTTGCCTTCCCATTGGAGACTTTCGGCGCCGTGAAGAGAGGGGGATCTGCTGCATGGGTAACAGCTTCTCATCCGTATATACCAACCCAGGCTTGGCGCCCGGGAAAGCCCACTCCAGACCGACAACCAGAGCGCAACTCCATAGTCTCCTGAGACTGATGGAGGCCTACTAATGCTTAGATGCAGCAAAATTGTATGTATTAATGTCTGCATAGATACATACGTTATTGTTAAGTAAAGCAGATATTAATGCAATAGTGTGGCAACTTAATGCAGACATTGACATAGAGGCATGGCTAAGAAATGAAGACATTCATTCACTATTATTGCTAAGTAATGCAGACACCGATACAAAATTATTGCTCAGTAATGCTTATATTAATGCTGCAGCACGGCAAAGTAATGCAGACATTAATGCTGCAGCACGGCAAAGTAATGCAGACATTAATGCTGCAGCACGGCAAAGTAATGCAGACATTAATGCTTCAGCATGGCAAAGTAATGCAGAAAAAAATGCTGCAGCATGGCGAAGTAATGCAGACATTAATACAAAATTATTGCTTCTTGCAACACGCTGGTTACACTCCTCCATAGCACCTTAACTGTCAGTCGTCTCTTCCGTTGGCCAGTCCCGGGTACGCCGAATTCTGTCACTGCCACTTCACAGGCAGACAGTAGAACACTTCACAGTTCTTCTCCGGCGGCGGCTCACTGCTTCCGTAAAGCAGAATAGAGTAGAGAGCTATTGGCTGCCCTGGGTAGACTGACTGTCCTCGTACCACAGCAGCCTTACGTCGACTCTGTGGTTACAGACACGCCATCAATACACTGGTCAGTACATGGGACACTAGGAAATACCATGTCTATGTCACTAGTCCACTTAGGGACTCTGACATAGACATACAACTTCTCCTACAACAGATGGCGCTGATTTTCTAGGCGCCACCTCACCAGAGGTCAGCAACAGCGACCTCTCGAGTTGACCAGGACAGGAATCTAACGCCTCTTGCTGGAATAATCCTGTCACCACTAGATGGCGTCGTCCAATTTGTGGGGGTTTTGTGAGCGGACTCACAGATGGCACTGACGTCGCTGCTCCATACTCCGACGATGAAATCGGGTTCGTAACAATACTATAACTGACTTGTAGGGCGATATCGTAAGTTAAGCACTTTATAATCTTATCATTGAATTGGGAAATCAAGGTACACAATATTGATATATCTATATCATAATACCTGGAAAGAAATGGTATATTATCAAATGTTGAAATATAGATCATCAAGACACTAAATAATCACTGTTATTTAACTGATCCCATGACCAAGTATTGAGCGTGTCGTAATATTCCAGTATCCCCAGAAACAGATAATCAACACTCGGTATATAAGTCACAAAAAAGAGGACGGAGAGTGGAAATTCAGTAGCAATGTCATCTCAAATTGTCTCTAGGCTTCTCTCTTATATCGGGTGTGTTTATTCATGTTATGTTTAGAGCCTTTCTGTTGCTCTCTCTTCCCAGTTCTCGGTACTTTTTCAATACTTTTTACCTTTCCTTAGCTTCCCAGAATTACTAATTGAATCAGTGGTAATTCTGATTCTTTTTTCATCTACCTCCTTCCTAAGTAGTATGAACGGTTCTGCTGTATCACCGCATTTTCCAGCAATGAATTCCATCATCTCAACTGTAGCCTCTGTTTAACTCAACAGTAAAATGTGTACTTGGTTGTAAAAACGATCCTTCGCGGCGGGGATCGTATTCCAGGGACCTGCCCGAAACGCTACGCGTACTAGTGGCTGTACAAGAATGTAACAACTCTTGTATATATATATAAAAAAAAAATCCTGTTTTCGCTTGCTTTTATCTTTCCCATTTGATTTTCCATAGAAAGTCCCTCATCCCGTTGTATTCCCTGCATCTCTAATCTCCCTTCATCTTCTTCTTCACCGGGTTTCTTTGTATATCTAGTTCCTTCAGCTCCACTATGTATTCAGACATGACAATGCAGTGGTCGCTTGCTCCAAGAGGCAGCTCATACTCTAATTTTGCAACGTATGGATCATTTGGGGAAATTACCAAAGATTGTGTTGCTGGTAGCTCGTCTCCAATAACTCTTGTTGATTCTGTGACATGTTGCTTTAAGAAGTTAAGAAGAGTTTGTTTGCCAGGTCTACCAGTTTTCCTCTTCCTGTCTCATCACCCCCGTTGGGATCCTTATTCATCCAGTCTTTTTCACTGCTGTTGAAGTCCCTCCAATACCAGAATTTTAGCTCTTGTTCCCTTGCAACTGTGGCTACATTATACATTAACTTTAAACAATATTCACTGCATCTGTTGTATTCTTCCCTAGGCCTTCTATTGTTTGGTGGGGGATTATAAATCACTGCTGCCACTATCTTCACTCTTCCCACTGTTGTTATTACTAGTACATTCTCTTGCTGGTCATATCCTTCTGTTATTTCAAGTTCTTCAGAGCTCTAGTGTGCACCAACTCCCCTTATGTGCATTCTATCTCTCATTATTACTTGATACTCTTGTGGAAAGATTGCTTTTCCTATAACTTTCGTAAGTTTCGTTTCCGTTATAAGAGTCATGAGCAGTTGTACTTCTGCCACTCTTTCCTGTAACTCTTTTCTTGTATTAGCAACTCTATCTGCATTTGTGTTCATTTATTTTATGCTACTCGTGACAAATGGGCTGCTTACGTTTTTCCCGATGAGTACTTTTTCATGTGGTTGTATTTCTGTATCTGGTAGGGGGGACGGGGTATTGTGAACGTGTCACTCTTGCCTATTTGTTTGCGTAGATATGCTGCACAGCCCTATTGTCTCACTCTGTAGTACTCTCTGTTGCCGTGTAAGGAAGAGGGTGGTGGAGGAAGGAACTGGGAGAAGTGTACTTACTTATCAGTACTTATCTATGAGTGTCTGCAGGGGAGTGACGTCTCGCTCTTCATGCCATGTCTGTTTTCCTTTTACTTGCCGAGTTTCAACTTAACTACTCTGACTTTCAAAATCTTTGTCGTATCGGGGCTTCAAGTTGTGGATGAACGGGGGGGAGGGGGCGGCTCCCACCACTTCCTCTTTTATATCATTCCACTTGTTAACTACCTGTACATGGTACGAGTACTTTCTTACATCCCTTTGACTCATTTGTGCTTCCAGCTTCCACCTGTGTCCTCTCGTCTTGTTTCTCTCAACCTGAAGAGGGCATCCTTCTCCACCTTATTTATTTATTCATTTATTTATTTATGCATATACAAGAAGGTACATTGGGAATGTGAGGATACATAATATGGTAATTACAGTCTTGTAAAGCCACTAGTACGCGCAGCATTTCGGGCAGAAATCATTATTCCCTTCAGAAATTTATTCCCTTCAGTATCTTGTAAGATGAGATCATATCCCTTATGTTCCTTCTATCCTCTAGGCTTTTGACATTTAGTTTCATTAGCCCATATTTGTAGCTTACATCCATGGAGGAAGGGAGAGGCGTGTGGAGAATGAGGCTGGGATAGATGCGTATGTACATAAGCCTTCTGGAACACACGTACATAATCCTTCAGGAGAACATATATAATTCTCATGGAACACATTTATATAGAAAAGATGTATAATTCTCCTAAAAAAGATGTATATAATCCTCCATGAAAAGATGTATATAATCCTCCATGAAAAGATGTATATATTCCTCCTGAAACTGATTCAAATATTCCTAATGGAACAGATGTTTTCAATCCTCCTGCAACAGATGTATACAATTATTTTGGAACAGATATATGTAATCCTCCTGAAACTCATGTATGTAAACCCTTTGGAACAGATGTGCATAATCATCCTGAACAAATCCATATTATCCTCATGAAAACGCTATATATATATTATCCACCCGCAGCTGCTCGGGATGGGATGCATTTATCCAGGGCTGGGGTTGTTGCTGTTGCCAACTCGATGGAACCTGTGGTTGGAGCGGTTTGTTTGGCTTTAAACTGTTAATAAATAGTGGTATGAGAATTGATATGGAGAAAGGAGGCAATAAAAATATGTGATGGTTGGGGAAAAAATTGTAAAATGAACGTGGAAGGAGAAGGGCCTCAAAACAACAATACACTTGAGATATATAACACAAACAGTAGGAGTCTAACAAACAAAATAAATAATTTAAATGCTCTTGTTTGGCCAGAAACAATAGATATTATTGCACTTACCGAAATATGGATGAATGTAGAAAATAGAGAACTATTAGCTGAATATAAAAAAATGGATTTAAAATATTTCTCACAGATTAGATGAGGAGGGGAAGTAGCCATATATGTTAGGAAAAATTTGAAAAGCAGTCTCAAAAAAGGAGTCCAAACTGAGCCACACACAGAAACTATTTTGCTAGAATTAAACGAAAAAGCTAGAAATCTTATAATAGGAGTTAGATTCAGGTCACCCAACGTAGACAGAATTGAAGCAAAGCATCTATTCGATGAAATATCTAACGCATCTAGGTAAA